CAACCCAAATGCCCATCAGTGATAGACTGGATAAAGAAAATGTGCCACATATATACCATGGAATACTATCCAGTCATAAAAAACGATGAGTTCATGTCCTTTACAGGGATATGGATGAAGGTGGAAACCATCATTCTCAGCAAACTAACACAGAAACAGAAAACCAAACACTGCATGTTCTTACCCATAAGTGGGAGTTGAACAATGAGACTACATGGACACAGGGAGGGGAACATCATACACTGGGGCCTGTTGGGGGGTAGGGGTCTAGGGGAGGGATAGCATTAGGAGAAATACCTAATGTAGATGACGGGTTGATGGGTGCAGCAAGCCACCATGGCACGTTTATACCTATGTAACAAACCTACACGTTCTGCACATAAAGTATAATAATAATAATAAAAAGAACCCCAGAGAAATACACATAGAACCTAAACAAGGCCAAGTTCAAAATTCCAAAACTAGTCACAGCTAAACTAAGCGATCATATCAGTTAGGTGAACCATTTCGGGCCAGTAAAATAACTGATGTTTCCACCATTTCCTTTTAGATTAAGGAAATTTAGAAGCTATTCTTCCTAACTAATGAAGCCACTGCTATCGCATAAAGATGCCAGTGCCCCTCTCCTGCTCCTGAAGAACCTAATGAAGAGTTGAAAAGCCAACTGAGCAGAAGCTGGTACCAGAGTATGGAGCAATGCTGTGCTCACAAGAGTCTACGCAGGTTGGTGGATTCTGTCTGTCAGTTGGAGGCTCTTTAAGAGAAGAGGTCCTCTCTCCATTTATGACTCAAGTTCTCTTCCACTTTTCCACCATGTATGTACACACACATGCGTGCACACACACACAGCCTTTTCACCTTACACAGGGGAAAGAGGTAACTTGACCTAGGTTAACTAATAAGGTACTATTCCACTGAAAGTGCAATTACAGAGTAAAAAGCCAAATCCAGTAAATTTTAAAAGACTGGACAACAAAAGCTATGAATAGCAAAGTATCTATAGATGAAAAGCCCAGAGGCTCGTGAGCTTACCAAGGATAATCCTGCTTGGGGAAAGGTCCAGGCCTCCAGAAGGTGTTGTAACTAAATGAGACCAGCTCTCCAGGAAATCTGGTGGCAATGTGGTGAGTCTGTTGCTTGATAAATCCAAGTAGGCAAGGTTCTTCAGATACCTGAGTGCCTCATTTGGCACACTGGTTATTTTGTTATTGTGCAAGTCCAGGGTCCTCAGAAGGGGCATGTCCAGCAGAGATGCCCAAGGGAAAGCAGCCAGAGAATTCCCATCCAAGCGCAACTCATGCAGTTGCTTCAGGTTGTAAAAGCTGCTGGGGTCAATGCTGGCCACGGAATTGTAAGTCACCCAGAGATACTGGAGCTCCACCAGGTAATAGAAGGCCTCCGCCGAGATTCTGCGGATGACAGTCTTCTCTATGCGAAGCTTCACCGTGTCCACGGGGAGGTTCGTAGGGAGCTCGTTCATATCCATGTCATTACATAGCACCAACCTAGTGTCACAGCATGAGCAATGTGAGGAAACTCACTTTCCAACATCCATTTGAAAAAAATACTTCTCATTTGAAAAACGTATCAATTTTTGGCCGGACAGTGGCTCATGCCTGTAATCCTAGCACTTTGGGAGGCCAAGGTGGGCTTTGGTTCAAATCTAACCAAGGTCTAAGGTCTACCACCTCCTCTGTGGCCATGGAAAACCACTTCACCAGTGTCTCAACCTAATTTTCCCATACGGCACTGTTATGGATGATTAATTACAATGGATGTAAAACTCTACAACTTCCTAGCACATAATATGTACTCAGCAGGTATTTGCTGCTACTGTCAACAACCTCGGTTTTACATGGAAAGTAACTGGGGCCCAACAACATTCAGTAACTTCCCAAGGCCACCCAGCTAGTGGGTTTCACAGTCACCTTTCAAAACCACTTCTTTCCAACTTAAAGTGGACCTCTTTAGGAAATGGACCATTTTAAAAGAACCCCTGTTAAAATAATAAATCAATCCTTTTTAAGAGAATAACTTATTTAGGTGAAAAAAAAGTGTTCACAGTACATGTTTAAAGTTGAGCTCTGTTTTAACAACGTGACTTGCACATTGCTTTCTGCCTAAGGAATAAACCAGAAACTAGGAGCTGACCTTGAGCGAGTCACATTTTGATCTTGTTTCTTGGCACATACAAAACAGGCTTAGAAAAACAACACTGGGCAATGTGGCTCATGGCTGTAATCCCAGCACTTTGGGAGGTCAAAGTGGGCAGATCACCTGAGGTCAGAAGTTCAAGATCAGCCTGGCCAACATGGCGAAACCCCGACTCCACTAAAAATACAAAATTAGCCAGGCATGGTGGTAGGTGCCTGTAATCCCAGCTACTCAGGAGGCTGAGGTGGGAGAATCACTTGAACCTAGGAAGCAGAGGTTGCAGTGGGCCAAGATCATGCCACTGTACTCCAGCCTGGGTGACAGACCGAGACTCCATCTCAAAATAGAGAAAAAAAAAAAAAGAAAAGAAAGAAAGAAGAACAACACTGTCCCATGTGTAAATTTAAACTATGAGGAATCTGAGAATTTACATTCATTTTAGCCTGGAAAATGACTTTTTTATCTCCTATGAGATACTCATCTGAATTACAAAAAATAATAAGTTTTGCAAGGTATCATCTAAATTATAGCACACTATAAATTCAGTAAATAATTACAATAAAATAACCCTTTAGTGAAACACATCACATTAAATAAGTGGATTTGAAAAACCAGCTCATAATGTAAACAGAGATAAGCAGCATAAAGCTGCAATGTAGTGGTTGTATGGTAGTGGTAGTGTTGTCTCATTTCTGTAACTTCAGGAGAAGACCTCATGGAATCTTTGAAATCCTGTAGGGATATCTCTTACTTTTCGTCTCTATTTTGTATCACAGATTTCAGGGCTACTTTATACCAGAATGGTAGCAGTTTCTACTCATTAAGAAAGTATTGGCCGGGCGCGGTGGCTCATGCCTGTAATCCTAGCACTTTGGGAGGCTGAGGTGGGCAGATTACCTGAGGTCAGGAGTTTGAGACCAGTCTGGCCAACATGGTGAAATCCCGTCTCTACTAAACATGCAAAAACTAGCTGGGCATGGTGGCACATGCCTGTAATCCCAGCTCCATGGGAGGCTGAGGCAGGAGAATTGCTTGAGTCCAGGAGATGGAGGTTGCAGTGAGCTGAGATTGTGCCACTGCACTCCAGCCTGGCCGACAAAGCAAGACTCTGTCTCAAAAAAATAAGTAAATAAAATAAGTATTTCAGCATGCTATCATAGAAGAAAGCCTAGTTTGTACACTGAAAGATTTAGCATCTTTATGAACTTAGTTACTAACACAATTACATGATCTAGAACAAGTCATTTGGTCTCTATACAGTTTGGTTTCTTCACTTATAAACTGACAAGGGGCTGAACTAGATTATTTCTTGCCAGGCCTAATATTCTATAATTTTTATAAAATCTATCAATAATGGGGTCACCACAAAGAAGGAAACATTTCTGTGATAGTTTCTCAAAAGTACCCTGGCCTGATCCTTCACTGCTTCACGTCCGTGGACAAGTAGGCCTTTAACTTGCTACATTTTCTTCATCGTCTTTAACCACCCAGTGAATATGTCAAAAAATACCAAGAATTGCTTAACTAAAGTTTATACAATAACAACATAAGCTTTTCACAAATATATCTTAGTTATTATTATTTATTTGTTTAAAGTTATAAGACATAAATTGGGCAACTCTTTTAACAAATTATTTTGTCTGAGACACTGTTTACTTCAACCAAGTCACGAATAATCTGATTTTATTATTAAATACCCTCTCAAAAAAAAAAATTCAAGTTCTAGGCCAGGCGCGGTGGCTCATGCCTGTAATCCCAACACTTTGGGAGGCTGAGGCAGGCGAATTACCTGAGGTCAGGAGTTCGAGAGCAGCCTGGCCAACATGGTGAAACTCCGTCTCTACTAAAAATACAAAAAAAATTGCGGGGCATGGTGTCAGACGCCTGTTATCCCAGCTAATCGGGAGGCTGAGGCAGGAGAATTACTTGAACCAGGGAGGTGGAGGTTGCAGTGAGCTGAGATCACGCCACTGCACTCCAGCCCAGGTGACAGTGCGAGACTCTGTCTCGAAAAAATAAAAAGAAATTCAAGTTCTATTGTGTTTAGCTAGCAAGAGTTCTGTTTTGCATTTAACATATCTAAAAGGCTTCATGCACATTATAAGCAAATAAGTATTCTCATTACACATGTAGATGCTAAAGCAACCTAGAGACTGAATAACTTCTGTGAGATCCTACAGTGTCTGCAACAGACAGTATCTTTTTCAATCTTCCTTATTTTGTAAATTCCATCAGCTTAAAATGGAAAAATTCTAACTACCAACCTCTCTAACTTCACTCTTGAGATCTTTCTTTCTGCCACTCAACTGACATGAATAATCCTCAAAGGAAGTGGAGAGTCACGAAAGCAAAGGATCTGAGCATGTCCCGCAGCTCCTGTTCAGCCTGTCCTCAGCCTTTCTATAATCAAGGGCTGAGCTGGCCACGCACCTTTAAATGGTTTGACCTCAAGCAACATTTTGCAAACATAAGCATGATAAAAATTTTGGAGCAGAGAATGTGTTTAGAAATTTCCGGTAACTTGAGAGACCTTTAAGAGTTAAACTGCTCGAAATGAAAACAGTGAAGGAGTAGGTGACCAGTATTAACACAATTACGTTAGAGCTTACGGACACTAAACATTCTCTTCTGCGATTTCTGATCCTCAAACATTTGCTTTCAAAAGTAGGCTTTCTTGTTTGGGTCCTTTTTGTCAAAATAATGAGAACATTTAGTAGCAAGCAGGGGAGCATACCTTGATCCTGAGCCGTCATTTCTGCCGTGATAATCACAGGTGCACTGTGAAGGACATGAACAGCCCACTCCTTCCAAAACGTTAAGGACAATGCACAGACATGCAAAGAGATGCATTGCTCCTTTTAGAGGTTATTTAAACAAAAGGTAAAAACCCAATCCTAAGCATTCAGAAACTGGTGTGCCTGGAATACAAACAGCCATTTAGTAACAGCAGATTACCTGGGATTAGCTGAGATCTGTAGTTACTTAACCTTCAAGTGTATCTTGCAGGAGATCAATTGACCCAGCCTTTGAATACGGTTTCAGCAAAGTAACACATTCTAAGGAAAATGAAAATCAAACACATGACAAGCAATTTCAATAGTTACCCATATCTAGATTTGCAAGGAAATGCCTATTAAATCCCTTTCCTCTGGATGTACTTGCCACTACACCTTAAAAATACACTTAATGTTAAAAATAATTCAGTCTTGGCAGATGCAAGAAAATTCTGTAGATTATTTACATGTTATAACATTATAAAATGCTTTACTTTTGGTGTTTGCCAGCATGCATAACTAATTCAGTTTTACAAAATTTAGTTTTAAAAATAGAAGCACATGACATAAAAATGATTTAGAAAAGAATTATCGATGTTGCCACATACTGGCTATCCCTAAAAGTAAAGTAAAACAAGTCTGTTACATAGATTTTATAGGGAAAATGCTTCAACCCACTACTGATGTGGCAGAACTAAGTTCTCCAATGAGAACGTGTTCTGAGACTCTTCCAGGTCATCTCAGTGTGTGGAAGGTTTATCCCAGCCGTTTATTTTTAATGTAGGCAGCTATCTCTGTTCAATAGTTTCCCAAGTTATCGGCATCAAAGCCATATTTGAAGATCAACTCTAATTCTTTCAGCTATACTAGGCTCTATCAGAAAATAAAAATTAAACGTAATTAAATTTAAAACTATCTCCATATCCATAAAGTGGAGAATCCACAGGGACAATCAAGGATGTAAGTAATAAATATATGTCATTTAACCTTCTTAGTGGCTGCTTCTAACCATCCTCTTTAACTAAAAACTTTTTTAAAAGAAAATTAATTCTATAAAAATAAGCATATTACAGAAAATGTTATTTAAAACTAATATAATTTATATAAAAACTACAGAGTCTGAAAAACTGTGCTCAATTAAAATAAAATACGGCAGGTTTTCAGATTCGGCACAACTCGTTTGTTCACCAAATATTTACTGAGTACTTATTCTCTGCTGAGCACTGAGGGGTACAAAGAGGAATAAAACAGTTGTTACACATAAGGAACTCACACGATAAAGGGAGGAACAGACTACTAAAGAAGCACCAGAAAAGAGCATCAAACCCAGCCTGTGTTAGTCAAGCAAGACTTTCTAGGGTGGGTGGTGCCTGGCTGCCTTTTACAGGGTGCATGAGGATGTATTATGGGAAAATCCAGAAAGTCGCATTGCAAGCAAAGGGAATAGTGGGAACAAAGGGAGGGAAGTGAGAAACAGTGTATTGTCCTCAGTCAATTTCAAGCACTTCTTGTTGCTCAGGCATAAGATTTTGAGGCGGGAAGTTAAAGAAGATAAAGCTGGAGAGGTAAGTGGGGATGAAGTTATCAAGGAAACCCTTAGATTCCCTATGGAGAGCTTACTCTCAGCCTATAGGCAATGAGAGCAATAAAAGTTAGGCTTGGGGGTGACATATCAGCTTATCCTTTTAGGAAGAATTCTCTGGCAGCTGTGGGGAGAAAAGGTTTAGATAGCGCAAGCAAGAAGAAAGAAGGAGGCTTCTGGTGGATGTCTGTGGTTATAGTCCAGGTGAGCAGCCATCACGCTACAGCCTTGACTGCTGTGCTGGTAATAGTTAGGATAATGCAGCTTCAGGAAACATCCAGGAAAGAGAAATGATTGATTAGATGTAGGGATGAAGAAGGGATTTAAAAACAACCCTAAGGTTTCCCAGTGCTGGAGATTCAGTGAGAGGTGGTAGCCCTGAGTTTTTAAGCACCAGAGGGAGAAGAAATAGGATGGGTAAATCTCAGATCACCAAACAACCAAGGGTTTTTGAATTATTAATTTCGTGGATGACATGACTTACATGGAAGCAAGAAATGCCAAATTGAGTACAGAAACGCTGTTTAAAGATAAAAACATTAGAAAGTAGAAAACTAAGAGGTCAGAGGGAATTGTGTAACCAAAGCCCGGTCTTCCTAGTTTTATCATATAAGCAAATTAGACAATAAAAAATATAGCACTGAAATATAATTACTCTATACTGTTGAAGTCCTTTATATTTGAGGCAAAGTTGCTTCTTGCTTATCGCTGGAAATGAGTTCATGGCCTTGCAAATTGGAACTCTGAGTCCATTTTTCTAGACATTATTACAGAAGTTGTCCTGGCCTTTTAATGGCTCTGGGACTTTGGGCGCAGATGTCATTATGCTTTCCCTGTAAAAAGTCTCAGCTACGGTAGACAGGATGAGCAAAGAGCTAGTGACACAAAGCATTCAGTACTCTCTGGGAACACTAGACATTTTAATTTGGCCATGAAGAAAGACAAAAAGCTGAAAAGTCCCTTTCGGAGTATGTTAAAGAGGGCCTTGAAAATCCAGCTGAGGGGTTTATACTTACTTGGTGGGCGAGTGAAGGTTTTTAGCTAAAGAATTTGGGCATTGGAACTTTATTTTTAAAAGATTAGCTACAAAGTTGTATTGATTGCGGTTGTATTGTATTAATTGATTGCAGTGGGAAAGTCAGAGAGTGAGGAGATAACGTAGAAGATTCCTATAACAGTTTACCTTTCCATATACATAGAGGACTGTACACATAAAACTAATACCTAGATTTTACTTAATATGCAGCCAAAGGTGCTAAAGAGACAATTTACAGGTAGAAAAAATAGAGATTAAAAAACACAATATGCAAAGATACACAGCCTCACTAGCAGTTAAAGAAATGTGAAATAAAATGAACTTAAGTTAGAGTATACAACTCATAATTTAAATATATACAGCACTATTAGCAGGAATATGAAAAGCCCACTTAGACACTGCCAGTATCAGTGTAAACTAATTCAATCTTTCCAGAAAGCAAGTTAGCAACAATAATAGTGTTTTTGTATTTGTATCCAGTATTTCTAGTCTGAAAAGAAACACTCAAATAGAATAACTTCTCCCATAGAAAAAATATATTTGCACTGAAATATTTTCAGTGGTACATCCATGAAACTAAAAATTGAAAAGCAATTTAAATGTCTACTATTTAAACAATGGTATATTGTACTATGCTTTTTTTTTTTTTTTTTTTTTGAGACGGAGTCTCGCTCTGTCTCCCAGGCTGGAGTGCAGTGGCCGGATAGCTCACTGCAAGCTCCGCCTCCCGGGTTCACACCATTCTCCTGCCTCAGCCTCCCCAGTAGCTGGGACTACAGGCGCCCGCCACCTCGCCCGGCTAGTTTTTTGTATTTATTAGTAGAGACGGGGTTTCACCGTGTTAGCCAGGATGGTCTCGATCTCCTGACCTCGTGATCCGCCCGCCTCTATGCTTAACAGTCATTTAGAATGACAAATATGTGAGTCTACAAACTCATTTGACATTGAAAAATCATTTATTGAGTGCCTACTACATGCCAGACAGAATTAGGTATATGTGCTAAGGATACATTAAAGAACAAACATATAAAAATCTCCACTCTGATTGAAGTTAACTCTGGTGGCAAATATATGGAATATATATGCAGAAAAATGGTAATCAAAATTGCAGAAAACATCAAAATATGCACAGGGGTTATAATGCTATATAATATATATGCATCGACTTAACATTTTATTTAGAAACAATTGTGTTTAATGTTCATTTGATTATTTTTGTTTAATAACATAAGTTAATTGATTTAAATGTTAAAATGTTGAAATGCCAAAAATGCTTTCTATTCTAACTGGGAACATCCAACAACTCATTTCAGTAATTATCTAGAATTATTCATTATTATTGTTTTTACTCATTTATTCTAACATTAAATTAGTGACCGCTTCTATTCTAATGGAGGAGCCAGGCAAGTTAAAGGTCATCAGTACAGTGTAATGCATGCCATAATAGGGAAAAAGAAAGGGGACGTTAACCTCAGATGCCTAATTCATCAAGGGAGATGAGCAATAAGTTGACATATCAGGACACAGAGAAGCATGCACTGCAGCAGCCAGTGCACAAAGAGAAGAAGCATGAGCTGCGCTTGAGGAGCTTACAGTCTCATAGGACAATGATCCATGTCTACACTTGATCTAAATGGGCTCATATTTAAAATAAAAGCATTGTCAAAAAACTAAAGTGTTTTGACAGTGTGTCCTTTTCTCTTATTTCAGATTCTTCCTGAAGCCAGTGGGTTTTGAGATACATCCATCGGTAAAATACTTGTCACAGGCATTGTTTGGTGAGTCTGACATTTGAACATGGCAAGCATCGCCCTCCGAAACCTACAATAAAAAAAGGAGAATTTGGCATTAATCATAATGATTTGTAACTTCTAAAGCATTTTCAAGTATGGCTAAGATGCCACTACTGCCAATTTACATCTCTGGATAAATTTCTGCCTCCAACTTAACATCTCCTGTTGAGAACCTTTATAAATATATAAAGTATATGGTAGAGTTAAAACCCATTTTGCACTATTGATTCTATAGATTTCCTGTTGAGAAACTTTATAAATATATAAGGTATATGGTACAGTTAAAGGCCAATTTTGCATCATTGATTCTATAGATTGAAGACGTCTAATAAAAGTAAATAATTGTATGTATTTAAAAGGATGCTACCAATGTCAAGTGCCATGAGTTGTTTATTTGAACTAACAATGTGTGTTTCTTCCATCTGTTCTTCCCAGCAAGAATTTTCCAAAAGAACTACCAGCAGATTCTGAATTTAAAATGTGTTCATCATTCTTCTTATGTGGTCTGTTTGGGCTGTAAAATTTTATGTTTCTTCATATACCTGTAACTAAAGCTGCTTTTCCAAACATTGTCATTCCAGGATAAAATTACCTGACCTCAGCTGGGTGTGGTGGCGCACGCCTGTGATCCCAGCACTTTGGGAGGCTGAGACGGGTGGATCACAAGGTCAGGAGTTCAAGATGAGTCTGGCCAAGATGGTGAAACCCCATCTCTACTAAAACTACAAAAATTATCCGGGCATGGTGGTGGGCAACTGTAATCCCAGCTACTCTGGAGGCTGAGGCAGGGAATTGCTTGAACCCATAGGCGGAGGTTGCAGTGAGCTGAGATCGCGCCACTGCACTCCAGCCTGGATAGAGACTCCGCCTAAACTTCATTGAGGAGGCAGGAAGGGAACATTTTGCTGAGAAACCCAAAAAAGAGAGGAGGTAAGAATTCTCTAGTATCCAGATACCTTTTATGTTGGGACTAAACTTTTCCCTTGCATTTGAATGATATGTCTTATTTCTTGTAAGTATACATCTATGCTACCCACCAAGTGAGCCCAACGTTGCCCTGTCCATTTTCCAGTAATAAAATCACTCTTTTCTTTGGAAACCACTATTCCATGTATTTGGGATGGGAGTAACCATTTGAACTAAGCTGACCACTGACATCCCAGGGGCTTTTCTGCCAGAGAGCCATGTGAGATGCAGTTGGTATTTGGGGATGCTTAGCTGGTAGAACTTGGGTCTTGGGTTACCCACAGTCATCTCTGTCACTGTGTGGGAAGAGTCTGTCACAAATCTGGAGCTCTGGGCATTTAAGGGTCTAGATGCTGCTCCAGTCACATGAGGCAAATGACCTTTATGCTAGATTGAAGTGGGTTTCTGTCACTTCTCTCCCAAGAAATCTTAACATTCTTTTTATATCAGTTTTATTTTGTATTGCAAGCATTTTAGACATTACTTACTTTTTATTAGCAACCACGTAAATGCAGGGGTTGTAGAATGTAGAAGATTTTGCAAACAGTGGAGCTATGATGGCCATGGGGGGAGGAATCTTCTTTGGGTCACCAAAAGAAGCCCATAAGCACACGATGGAATAAGGGGACCATGCCACCAGAAACATGCAGATCATGATCACAGACATCTGAAAAGAAATAGATATTCACCAAGCCCAATATCTAAAATATTTAAATATTAATATATCTAAAGTAGGGTAAAAGCTATCTAGGTTGGAATTTGAATATGTTTATGTTGTTGATGATA